CCCCCCCCTGCATCAGGCTGAGCGGCCAGTCCCCTTCCCCTCCCCATGCGTCCCGCCTCGGGGAGCAGACGGCTGCTCTTGGCGCAGGGAGCCGGGCGTAACGAGGCCACGGCAGCGAGCGTGGCCTTGGGCTTATCAACCCCCCTGGAGCGCAGGCGCAGGGGCTGGGGGTCCCCTCTTCCCCCACGGCAGCCCAAGGACAGCTGGGGGGGCTGGTGGAGGGTGGGGAAACAGCGCTGGCAGATGGCCCAGCAGCATCCCTTCCCGGGGACGGGGGCACCAGCCGTGTGGGCTGGCGCACATGGCTCGCCTGTCCCAGTGAGTCCGTGCATGTGAGCTGCGGGGGTGGCCGGCTACCTCAGCCGCTTCTGCCAGTCTGTGTTTTTGGGGAGTGTGGGGGGAGGATGGCCAGATGGGCTCTGCAGCCAAAGCCCCCACCGCCAGCACTGCCCCGTCGGGCAGTGCAGGGTGTTCAGGCTGGAGCCCACAGAGTCCCTGCCGTGCTGTGGTCGAGCTGAGGGGCTTGGGGTGCTGCTGGACCCGTCCCTGCAAGCCCCATCCACCGGCAAGGGTGGGAGCATCCCTTTCTGAGCTTTCCCACTGCTGGGACCTCCCCCACACCCTCAAATCCTATAGGAAACAGCCTCAGCAGTGGCTGGCTCTGTCCCAGCCCCAGGCTGGGGATTTGGCCTCCCGTGCTCCTTCCTGGCCCCGTCCCAGCACCGAGGGATGAGCCCGAAATAACCCCTCCGGATGCTGGGCACGAGGAAACGCTGAAATTGCTGTCGTTGCCAGCCAGGGGTGCGAGGAGGGTTTAAAGCATGGGAAACCCAATTAACTTGGCTCCATTAGCTGATTGAGCTGGCTGATAAGAGTATGATTAATTAAAAGGATGAAGAATAAGTTACTGGGTCCTCGCTGCCGTCCGAGTGCGGCGATGGCTTAACCCATGGAATTGGCTTCTCCCGTTAATACCCGGTGCCTGGCATCGCTTAATGGCGGGGAAAAACATCCTTCTCCCAGCTGGGTTCTCTCCCTGATCCTCCTCCAGCTTCCAGGGAGGGGAAAAAAAAAAATTGAGGGGAAAATATGATCCCTCTGGGCGGGTGACACAGGAAAGGACCTTTTTAATTAACCGTTCTTTTCTCGCTGAGTCTGGGTTTGGCTTTGGAAGCCAAGTAATGCAGAAGGATGGGAGCATCATCCCCTCCCGCGCCGCCCCCGGCAGATTCCCGCTCACCGTTCCCCATGAACTAACACGAGCTGACAGCCCCAGTGGAAGTGAGTGGGCCCCTGGGCGGGGGGGGCTGCAGCCTCGGGCAGCCACTCGGGCCACGGAAAAAAGCAAATCTGAGCCGTCTTACAAATTTTTTGTAGTAATCCCACTCGCTGAAGCCCGGCCTGAAACCGCCGGGTAAGGCAAATGACCACATGGTGTTTCTTTCTGTCTGGGACCAAAGGAAGTGGGAGAAGACTCAACTTGCATCCACTCCATTCCCTCTTGAAAAAAAACTCCAAACAAACCCTAAATCTGATTTTTTTCCACCCATGACAGGGGGAGGGATGCCAGTCCGGGGCGGGGTCCCTGCACGCTTCTCCCTCCTCCACCCGCAAAAGCCGTGTGCTGCTCCAGCACCCGGTCAATGGTTTGGCGGTGGCAGAGGTGACGTCCCTGCACGGGGCCATGGGATGGGTGGCACCCATGGGTGCATTTCCTGGGGGAATTTTCAGACGCAGCATCCCCGGGAGGAGTGGCTTCTGCTCCTCTGCGCTCCTTCCCTCCCTGCCCCAAGCAGGGCCATGTCCCATCTCCTGGTGACGGCTCCTTCCCACCCCGACCCGGTCACTTACTGGCAAGGGAACTGGTGCCAGAAACCTCAGGATATCTTAGAACTGCGCAAACAAAGCTGACAAAACCTAAAAAAGCCGGTCGAGGATGTGCCTGGCAGTGTTACAGGCGATGGGGAAGGGGGAAGCATCCTTGGGGCCACGGGGCTGTCTCATCACTCTGGCATTTGTCCCAATATTACAGATTATACGTCCAAAAATTAAAGATTATACGATTGGAGAAATCACCCAACTGTAAAAGCAGCGGAGTGATTTGCAAGGACCTTTTAGTAACCTCCCTTCATTCTCTCTTGCAATCAGAGAAACTCATGTTTGATGAGCACATGGCCTTCGGGAGGCGATTAAGGAGACCAGGGAATGACTTTGGGAACCAGAGGGTACTTAATGGTATCGCTGAGTAGCCGGGCTTGCTCACCATGGAAAGAAATCCCCAAATCCCCTGTTACTTTAAGAAGGAAAAGTCAAAACCTGGCGCAAAGAGCCCTCTCAATGGCCTCGGCCAGCGGGGTGTTGTTTTGGCGGAGGCGGGTTGGGTTTGGCTTTGGGAGCTGGCAGGGAGGGAATGGTTAAGGCTGGGATGTTATGGATGCTGGGGTCTATAAGGACCAGTGCAGATGGTAATAACTGCCAGCCCCTGCTAGGAAAGCGATGACTCAAATAAGCCGCTGGTATTTAAGGATGCTTTAATGCGCGTGAGCTGGGCTGGAGGATGGGTTTTTTCCCCGGCCTGTGGTCGGGGGCAGCTCTGGGAGGCCCCGGGATGGGGCCGTACAAAACACGCTTCCAGATGCCGGCAAGGCCAGGATGCGGCAGGCAGGACCCGGGCCAGGCTGGGGAGCCGGAAAGGGATTTTTTTTTCCCCCCCCCTTTCACCGGGAACAAAAATCCCGCGAGCACGTGATAGCTGATTTCCTTTAGCCTTTAAAAGCCCCGTGGGATGGAGAGCGGCCGGAGCAGGGGAAGGGGATCAGCCCATCCTGCTTGGCCTCCTCGCCATGTCACAGCTGAAAAGAGCCCAAAATCGCCTTTTACCTCTGAAACCTTCCAGCGTTGTGCATCTGGGGGTTGGGGGGGGAGGGTGTTTATAGCTTTTTACTGGCTTTATCCCAAACTCTCCTCCGTGCAAACCTTCCCTTTAACAACCATCCCTGCTTTTTCCGCTGGCAGCAACCCAAGAACCTCGTTGCAGCCGCTCACCGGCCGTGCATGTGCCGCGTAGGCGTATTAAAACCCCCCACCCCCCCGAGCTGGGGAAAAGGCTTGGACAAGGATCGTGCCTGGGATGTGCACCCATTTTCTGGCTTTTTCTTTTAAAAGGTGCTGCCACTTGAACAAATATTTGACAGTGGGTTAATGATTTGGGCAGGAGCCGTCTGTGCCTGATGGCGTGATGGGCTGGGAGCGGATTTTTTTTTGGCCCATGCTTAGGTCTCCCCCATCCCGGCAAGGAGCTGTTTATAGGGAGGGGGGCTCAGCAGCCTCAACCCCTGGTAAGGAAGCCAGTGTCTTCCAGAGGATGTGGGTTTTTTGTAGGGAAGAGGCATCCTGGTGCCTGCCAGCTCATAATTAGTGCTGCTGGCCTTGGCACTGGCCTAATTGGGGCTAGGGCTGAGCTGCAGAGGCGATGCCGCTGCAGGGTTTGGCCTTGGGCGGGGGTCCTGCCTGGGTATCCCCCTCCCCAAAACAGTCCCGGGGTGGGGTGTGTGTGTGTGTCATTCTCTCTCCCCACAGGGTGACGGATCCTGCCCCAGCCCAGCAGCTGTGCTAAAATGGGGAATTTTTCAGCTTTTTTTTGTTTTGTTTTGGCTGACGAGTGAGGTCTGGCTTTGCTCCCCAGGCTTGGGGGGCTCAGCCGCTCCTCCTGTCCCTCCCTGGGCGCAGGCGCTGGCTCCCCTGCCCCGGCCATTTTTTCCCC